AGAGCCCGGCCCGCTCGGGGGGCGCCGGGGTCCGCCCCGGGGCGAAGGGCTGCGCGCTCCCCGGTGCGATAGTGACAGCGGTTACACCCCGTCACCCCGCTGCCCGGTCCCCACAGAGGAGAGGCGGGGCAGGGCCTTAACGAGCGGTGGGCGTTTGTGCGTTTGTTGGGCGGGCAGGTGCTCGGGGCGCTGCTGTTGGGCGTCCGTCCGTGCGGGCGGGGGGCACGGCGTGGCCTGACAGCCGCGGGCGGGGAGCAGGACGGGACTGCCCGGAGAGGTGGTGGGGCACTGCCGAGGGGAGAGGGCACCGCGAATGCTCTCGGGTCGCTCATCCAAAGTAGCGTTGAACGGGGACGCGCCTTCCTCTCGTCTTGTTTCGGCCCGAGGAGGAGGGTGCCGCCACCGCTGAAGGGCGGTTGGCCGAGGTGAGGTGGGGTAACGCCGGTGTCTTCAGGCTTTGTGCAGAATGAGTCTTTTTTTAAAAAGGGGCTACCCGATGATTTACCCGCATCGAGAAACAGTTTCTGTTGCGTGTCAAGACAACCTCCGGCAGGCAGGGTGGTCGCTTCCAGCATGTGGTGGGTGCCCAAGGAGTGTTTGTCCCCGTTACACGGCGATGCTAAACCACGCAGTGAGTTCTGGTCCTAGCGGGAAGGAACGGGCGACCAGTGAAGTAATCTGAAGTTGCTGGATTTTGCACGTTTTGATGTCCACGATGGCAATGCAAGCAAGATCTAAATACGTAGAATTGTCATAACGTTCCGGTTTTTTTCAGACTGTAAATTTATAAGTTGCAAATGTGTAAAATGGCTGTGTCTTTAGTGCCAGCACACATCACAGGAAGAAACATAGCAAGCGGGGCCCGAGTTTAAAGTATGCTGTAAGAGCTTATTAATTTTTAATTAATATCAGCTTCCAGTTTCAACAAGTTGAGTGTAGATGTTGGTGTAATCCTAGGTAATTAACAGTGAGAGATGCTAACCTGTGGTAAAAATACTCCGTTTTAGCCTGCAATGTAAGGACCCAGTATTCCCTCAGTGCATTAATGTGCAAAGATAATTAAGAGATTTCCCGTTTACCATCTTTTATCTAAGACACATGTATTAAATTGCATTAATCTTTCTTCAGAGATAATATAATCTATTGTTTTTGCCATTTATACGTTCTTTGTAATTTGTCAATGTTGCGTTTCTTTTATAGTCAAATGAAAGAAAACTCTGCACAGTACTCCCAAGTGTGAGATTAGCGAAGCTGGTGTAAAGAGGAGTTATTACCTCTCTGGCTTTAAAAATCAAACCTGGTGTAGACATGACTTCTACGTACAGCATTTGCTCTCTTGAAATAGTACGAACTCTTGTCTAACACGTGCGTTGCCAGGGACAGCTCAGGGATGAAATATGCCATCTTTTGGTTTTTTTCTGTGTCTAAGATCCGTCGTTATGTTTTTACACACATCCTTCACTTTGCAGCCCCTCCAAATCCCCAGTATTTTTCTGTGTATTTGCCACCTTTTCTCAGCAGTCTGGTTGGTGGATAACTACGTAATTATGTCTTGTTTCTGCTCTCATGGGATGAAATTTTGAGTACTGGGGAGCTGCATTTGCAAAAACAACTAAAATGAATAGGTACAATAATCATTAGCGGGATGGGTTTCTTGGAGCTGGAAAATAGATTTGTGTACATAAACTCCCTGTAAAAAGAGGCAAAATAGACTGAAGGGATGTAGTGCTTTTGAATGGTTTAGTTTAATTAGTGCCTGTTCCCATGAAATCTGTACAGAAACCATAAGACCTTTTCCTTTATCAAGGTTTGTTGTGTTTGAAAGAAGGAGATAGTGAATTACAGTCTTAGAAGGCCTTCTGTTTGTATAGCATGACAGGAAGAAAGGTTAATCGTAATGGAAAAGGGAATTTGCCCATATAATTGGAATAGTTGTCAGTTAAATAATGATCTGAATGGGAGAGATTGTAAATAATATGATGGGCTCTAACAAATTTTGAAAGGAGGTAGCATCTGTCTCTCCTAGGAAGGGTTTATTCCAGGCCTAGTCCGAGCTGGCCCTCTGGAATCCTGTCTGTCTTGTAACACTGGAGGTAACATTTCCATGGCCCTTTGAGCTGGTCCGACCTGGGGCTCTTGCAGTCTGACAGCCCCCCTGAGCCAGCACTGACTTCATGTCAACAGGCAGCCACTTGGTTTGGGGAGATGAACGGGCTGAAAAGTACGCTTGCAAGAACGGCTGGCGTCGGGCTGGACGAGCCCCGGGGCTCGCCTGGCTCCCCAGCAGTGCCGGCTGGAGCGGCGGCCCTGGAGCAGAGAGGGACGGGTCTGCGTGGGGCAGGGGACGGGAGCGCAGAGCTCAGGCAGCCCCGAGAGAGGCCGAGGACGGGATCCGGTCTGGAGGTGCAAAATGGGCACGTAGGCGTGGGACAGCACCTCACGACCTCGCTGTACCTTCATAGTGTGTTGCTTTTTGTTTCTAACCAAACCCTTAACGCTCTCTCTGCTAGTCTGTGGTGCCTGCTGAAGGGCCTGGTATTTAATAGCGCCATTTCAGTCCATTTAATGGTATCTTGACAAAAAAAAATTATGACATGAAAGAAACCAAATGAAAGAAGTAGAAGGCTGCTGCTTGGGAGGAGGATAATAAGATATATTTAAAAGAAACCTTTATTAAGCTTCAGTTTAGCATAACTATACTTGTACGAAAGAAAATGAACAATATACAACAGGCCAAAGATGCTGCCAGAGATTGGAAGGTATAGTTGCGTAGGCCAAAATGCAGATCTCTTAAAAGTAATCAAGCAGTTTGGGGGACGGGGGCAGTTTTCCACATAAACTTTGCATGTACATGAACTGCTTTGCTCCAGAGCTGTTTATCTTGATGCTTTGCATAGGCCTGAGTCTGCATTTTTATCTTTTTTTTTTTTTTCCAAAGTTAAATCCCTTTAATTGGAAATCGGCTTGACCTGTGGTGATTGCTGAAGAAATCTCTCTATATCATCCGGCCCTACTGATCTGTATTTAATGTAATTCTTTCACTAGCTTATTATCCTTCAACCTCCTGAGCAATTTTTCATTGGTCTTTTAACTCTGCACAATTCTTAATGCTTCTTTTATAAAGCCAAAAGAAGAGTTCCTATTTGTATTGTAGTCCTGATGCTTGTTTATCCTTCTTTTATAATAGTTTTCTCTTTCCTCTTACTTGTTAGAAACTACTGAATCCTGTGTTGCTTTTAACTCTTTAGAAGTAATTTACCTTCACTTGTATTGTTTAGACTAACACATTTTTATGAAAGCTGTATGCTCTTCCCTGTTTCTTCCTACTTACTTTTGAGCCGGTTGGCCAACATCAGCCAAAATTGACAATGTGGCGTCAGTGTCAAAGATATCAAATTTTTACAGGTTTTATGAAAATCATCAAGTTGGTAGAGGGGGAATGACCCAAATTAATCGTTCTGCTAATGGAGAATCTGCAGCATGATTTCAAGTTATCTGCTCCGTTAGATGTGACTTAAACTGGGCAGCTAGTTGACGTACAGCTCTGAGCCAGCCGGCGGTTATGCTTCTCTCTGGCAAGCTGATAGGGAGCACAGCTGGGTTTGACAACGGTGCTGTAAGAGCTCCGGGACGTGGCCAGAGGAAGCCTGGGGTTTGCAGTGCTGACATGAAGTTGTGTAGGATGTGTATGTGAGAGAAGTGATTCGTACCTGATCTTGAAGTACCCCAGGCTGAATGATGCTTGAAATTGAGCTCTGTAAAGCCGTAATTGCCGTGGAGCAGCCTTCAAACCATGCTAGTCAGTGAAATTTTGAGTTAGAAGCTGGTGTATGTGCTCGTCTACCTACACATGATTGCAGGGCTTGACAGCAGTAAGTTTGTTGAAGTTTAATGTCTGTTGGCATATTATGTAAATAGATATTTACTTTTAAGAGGGAAAAATCCCGAAGGAGAATGTATTTGTAATCTTCACTTACATCTTACAGCAGCTCCTCACTGAAAAGATAAAATAACAATTTTCAGTTTGGAGTTGTGGATTTTTTGTTTGGTTGGTTTTTGGGTGTTTTTTTTTTAAGGAGGGAAGATGGGGGTTTGTGCTGCTTTTTTCCCAGTGCTTTTTCTAAAAGGTGGTTGAACAGGATGTTTGGGGGAAATGTGACATTGTTGGGTTTTGGCATTCCAGGAGAGCTTGAAGTGGATCCAGCATATTGTCTTATGCATTCCCTTCTGCACTGAATGTCAGGAGTAATTCATGTTGTTGACAGCTATGTCAACATGTGAAACTGAATGAAGGACAGGAACTAAACAAAAAGCTAATAATAGAAGAGGAAGAAAGTGAGAAGTGAACACTTCATTGGTAAACTTTCTTGCTGTCACGAGTAAGAGGGTCAAATAGTGCAGCCTGTCCTTATCTGTTACCACAAGCGCCTTCTTGTTGGCAACGTTCAAGAGCTGTTTGTACATCTCTGTGCGTTTTGTGAGTATGGGAAAGAAGCAATTTACCCAAGAAACACGCACAGTGGATTTATGTAGAGGCATACAAAAGTCACTTTGATTCATCGCCATTTGTCTAATTATTTACCCTACTTTAACCTTATGCTTCCAAAAACTCTATTAAGTATGGTCTCACTTGTACCGATTGCAAGCATTAAATATGTGGTTTGTCTGCCAGGCAATATGAGGCATTACGTTAGTTGTTTTTTGATGCGTCTTCTGCGGCGGAAGAGTCACTTCTGTTGGTTCAGTGATTACCACAGTACGTATCCTGTGATAAACTATCTGGCAACTCCAGTACAGGCTGTTGAAGAAACATTTATTGTATTTTGAGACATGCATAGTCATCCCTGTTTTGGCCTCTAACAGGTTATGGGCTTTACTCCTTATTCTTCCCTAGTGAAGCTGATGAACAAGTTAATCGGAAAGCCAGCTTGTGAGAAACAGTTTGTGGTACTGGAGGATGTGAATTCTGGAGTGCTGTGTTACTGCCCAAGTGTGTTGTGTACTGCTAGCGGAAATCGGAGAATACATCTCGCATTTCGTTGTGTGTTGGTAAATCTAACAGTTTATATCACGCAGGTATGGAGCGGCTGCTAAATATGGGACAAGCATATGTAAGAGGATCTTTATTAGTAGAGAATATGATACAGCCCTTCTGTGTCCTGAAGACAACATTCAGCTATCAGTATTTCTTCACCATTGTAAATAGACAATTTTAGTAAAGAGGTTTACCTTTAATTTGGCTCTTTCTAAGTGTTAAACCTGTTTGTTTTACTTGTGATTTGGTGTAGGCTGTGTAAAACACATCAGTATCCTTAACTATTAGTATGTTTTGTGTTGATTTTTTTAGGTGGCCTGGCAGTACACAGATCTGGTACATTTTGTGTTTATCTGAATTGTTACATAAATGAAAATATTTTCTCTTATCAGAAGTAAAATGCTTTCTATGGAGACTTCTGCTTCTGATGCCAGGACTCTCTTGAAAACTTACTTTGTTGCTTGGCTTAAAGGAAGATGATGTCATTAATGAATTCTGAGCATCCTTCAGGAGGCTGGTGACCCTTCTATCATTGGTGAATGCTGTCATGGACAACTACAAAGGGTAAAGATGATATTTTTGTGAGTCTATTTCACACTAGTGCTCTGATATAGGAAACGTGGGTTAAGTTTTTGGTTTAGATTAACTGCCCAAAGTTTACTCTTTTCACTTTTAGAACCATTCACAAATTAGGGAAACAAATTAGAGGAAACAGTTTGCTGGAGTAGCTGTCCAACTTTCTGTATGAGCTGTCTTTGAAGGGTGTGTTTACTCTCCAGATTATAATATATATATTCTTGAGCTAGCTTTAAATGAACTAATTTGGGTCTGGGAGCAGTCTTACTGCAAAATAGAAGCAGTGAAGTAACTTAGGTTTTGTTGAGCTGTATACTGCTGCAGCCTGACTAGGCACCTGAGTACTTTGTTTAAGAGTCAGTTTTAGTTCAAGTATTTCAAAATTCTACTGCTATTTTAGCTGTACCTTCAGATACTCTTCTACAGTTGTTTACTGCAAGGGACAGATTTCATTTCATACTTGATTTCATTTCCCTAAGTCAGTGCAAGATTTTCTTCTCTTAATAAATCCCTGAAAATAAATAATGCTTAATTTAACCATTAGTCTTTTTTGTTGCACAAGGGCTAGTTTTGGCTAATGTTTCTTCATAGTCTTCTCTTTTTTTAAACACAGTAAATGGGAAGCCACACTTAGTAGCCTCCAACTAAATAATTGTCTTAAAATAAAATGTAATAGTTTATTAATATTTTAGTAGCGGTACGTTGTTTAAGAGGATATTTGAAAGAGTACAGTTTGCTTTCTAAGAATGTTTTGTCTGCTCACTGTGTTTATTCATTCTGTTTCATCAGCTCTTTTCCAAAACACCACAAGCAGTTAGTGCACCTTACGAAGGACTCCTGACCTTTCTCATCTTCCTAAGTCATACATAGATGTCACCAGTGTTTCCCATGTTAACAGTTCTGAGCATGTTTTACTATATGTGCCTTCGGCGCCGAGCTAGGACAGCGACGAGAGGAGAAATGAACAGCCGGAGGGCTATTGAATCAAACACCCGAGCCTTACCTATCAACGTTGAAATAGTTCAGTATGCCAAAGAAGTGCTGGATTTCAGCTCTCACTATGGTAGTGAAAACAGCATGTCCTATACCATGTGGAACCTAGCAGGTATTCCAAATGTGTACCCTAGTTCTGGTGACTTTACTCAGACAGCCGTCTTTCGAACTTACGGGACCTGGTGGGATCGCTGCCCTAGTGCTCGGCTGCCCTTCACGAGGACGCCACCCACCTTCTGTAGCCAGGACTATGTAGAACTTGCTTATGAGGAACCAGTTTATCCCACTGCAGTGCACATTCTGGAAACATATCATCCGGGAGCTGTGGTCAGGATTTTGGCATGCTCTGCAAATCCTTACTCACAAAATCCACCAGCTGAAGTAAGGTAATTTTTTTTTCTTCTCCTTTATGCTTTCCTGTAAGATGTTAAATGCTACAAATAATGTGGTTTAGCGAACTTTGCTTCCTAGTATTTCTCTGCTTTGTATCTGACCCGCTAACATTTTCTTTATTTCTGCGTGTTTTTAAAACTGTGGTGACATGTTCTTATAGCAACTTCAGAGCTGTGGATTTTTTTTTTTGTAGGAATTAATGCAGATCCTAATATCAGATTTGATTTGTGTAATGGTAGCTTTTGTGTTGGAATTTTTATGAGCAATAATTACTATATATGTACAAAAATCACTTTTGAAACGGCAGTTTGGAGTTCTTCTCTTTCTCCAATAAGAAGAGAAAATTGTGTAGAAAAGGCTGAGGATTCATGGTTGCTGTGTCATCCTGCTTCAAGTAGCCATAAACTCCTTTTTCTCTCTGCATGCTTTAGGCTCTATGTATAGTACAATCAGGCTCTATAACTATTCATATGGAAATGAGGCCAAAACCAGAAGCACAGAACAGTCGGACAAAAGATGATGCCATTTGTCTGATCTTTATTTTTGGTCTGATCAAAGGGTGTGAGCCGCGCTTCATTTTTACACACGCTTCATAGGCTAAAAGAAGCAGATTTGATCCTGTTGGTTTTCCTTATAGTAGGAACTCCTGATGAAATTCCAGTTGGAGGGGGCAGGAAGATGAGGACCTGGGGAATGGTAAGATAGTAAAAAAACCACTGTGTATGAGGTGTGGAGCTCTTAGTGAGGAGGTGAGGAAATAGAAATGGAAGGAGAAAGGGAACAGGTAAAAGCACATAATGGGGAAAAAATTGGGAAAAGCTATCGGTATATGCAATCAAAGTATTCCGTATACATCAAAAAGAGATGAAATTATACCAAACTCATAAAGGAAAGGAGAACCGACAGAAGAAAGACTTAACAAAATGTATCCTGTAGAAAATGATATGCCAACAAATACTGTATTCCTTTAAAATGCACACTTTGGCGGTATAAGTTTAGGTTTTGGTTCTTAAACAATACACTTTAGTTTTGTGTAAAGACCAAGAAGTGTTGAGGGAAAGCTCTAGAAATGTTAACTGAAGGACCTATTTAGTAAGGTGCACTAAAAAAAGAGAAAATTGTTCAGAGAGATAAAAAAAGATGGAAGTGAAAAGGCTAGTATAAAATTTACTGGGATGTGCTTTATGACTTCTCTTGGGGTGTGGTCAGAGTGAGAGCTCAGACTTTCCCTTCTTCATAAGAAAGGATGAAGTTTCTGTAGGACCCTGCTTTTGATGTGTAGGCAGGAGAGTGTCTTCTGTTCTGCCTACCTAGGTTAACAGCATTTTTGGTTAGAAGAAGATTGTCTTAGGGAGCCTCAGAACTAGTTGTCAGTGCTGCATCTTCAGTACTTCCCAATCTCTATGCTAGAGAAGTGTTAGAGGGACTTTTTTTTTTCTTTTTTTCTTTTGGCTTACCTTTCCTCAGCAGGACTTGTCTGTTCAGAGCTGCACATTTGGTTTGTCTCCTCCTTTCTTCTGAAAGAGACAAACATGTATTATGCATCGTGTCTTGAAGGCAAGATGAAGGAACGCTTTCTCTACATGAGGTATGCAGTATTTTTTCTCTGTTCATTTGCTCACCTTTATGAGGGGAGTATGAAGAGTTGCAAGAACACGGTCTCTTTTCTGCTTCAGTTATTGGTCCCTTGTTTTCATGTCCAAAAATTGTCTGAGATGTCAACTAAGAATTATTTTTTCAAAGGTGGAATGCTGCTGGTAATCTCAGTGTTTAACTGATGTTTTGGACTTGAACTGCCATACTATTTTCTTCTGTTAAAAAAGGCCATGTCCTAGTTACTTGAAAGGCACCTAGAACCTTGTTCTCCTCTTCTGACTGTTTTGATACTCAATTTTAAATCACCTTATTACCTAAAAACCTTAAAGTGCTGCATTGTTTTATCTGCAGACTCTGGATCTGTTTCTTTCTGAACACCAGTGTAGAAAGGGTAGGTCATTAGAAAGGTTCCTTTTCACCAGTTCTTACTTTGATATAAAAAGAAGGCCAAAGTAATGGTGGAGTCAAAACTGTTGAGAGGAAAAAGTCTGCTGAGACTTGTTTAAATGTTATGTGTAGTGGATTATACTAGTCCAGCTGAGTAATCTTTTTTTCTCTTTGTTTAGTATTTAAAACATCAGCTCATCCAAGACTTTGGTGTGTGCAAAAGCTTCTAACCTACAAGAGGCTCTGTAAGGACTTGGTGTACTGCAGTCCTTGCTCAAGAGCACTTTATATATTCTTGTAGAAAAATGGCAATAGTCCACATAGTTGGCCAATGTGTTGCTCTGTTGCTCACTTTATGCTTCTGTTGCATGGAAGAAAGACTTATGCAGGTTTTCAGAAAAAGGTCTTTAGTCATGTTGCTCTGTTGCTGGTGGATTGAATACTGCTATCAGTTACAGCTTTGTAGGACACTGTCTCAGATCAGCTTTATTCAGAATCTTTTTAGAGGTGGGATCAGGTCTTCATGGAATGGGAATAAGCATTTATTTTTCAGAATGTAATGTAATTGTTCCTAAATAGCTCAAATGTTTAAAACATGACAGTTAATTTGAAGTTTTTTCATTATGGTTTAACCAGCTTCCAGCAATTTGAGGATTCTCTGTCCTTTCATATCTTTTGCTACTTTAAACACAGAAGAAAGTACATCACTCTCCTGCGCATAAAACAGTTTTTAAAAATCCTAAGTGTCAGAGAAACTACTGTCTTTACACATGGAGACCTTTTGTGCTTTTCATTAGTGCCACTCACACCTTTACTAGTGAGAATTTCTTAAACTATACTAACATTTGCTAGCATCCATGTACAAATTTGTTACATGAATTATCTGAGTGCAGAAAGTCCAGGTGAAAATTAATAATCTGGGATTCAGGGAATATTGTAGCATAGTCTCAGTTTTTATGTGGTGAAGAAATCCCTCCCTTTTTTGTATTGTGTTGTGCTTACACTAGTGTAGCCTTGAGATTTTGCACTGTGGTGCACGTTCTGTGTACACAGGGTTTGGGGACAGCGACGAGTCCCTCTTCGGCCAGTGGAAGAGGCAGAGCTCCGCATGGACGTGATGGGGACACCGCACCTGATAGCGGCGCGGCTGAACCCAACCAAGAGAATTTTCTTTGTTTCTCGTAGTGTATTGGGTTGATGGATAAGATATAGCTAGCTTCTGTGATGAGGAAAATGTTTTCTTTCTTGTCTCTTTCCTCCTTATTTACCCGGAAGGCTTACTCTTGGCGATTCCCTAATGGCTTCTTCGGTGTCATCCCTTTTGAAACATTTCGATACTCCTAATAGTTAGCTGCTGTCACAGAAGAGTTTGTGTATGTTTAAATGGGAGCTTTCAAGTCAGAAATAGTTTTTTCAGAAGTTTTCCAACTTCTTCCTTTTACAAAAATAACTTTGCTTTTTAAATTTGGAATATAAAAGAAAAAGTTGGTCCCTGTTCTTCTGTCGGGGTCTTTTTTTAACTTAATTTGACAGTTTCTCTTATCTCATGTACGTTATAGTGACACCACATATTCATGTGCTTTTATAAAAGCTCAAAACCAGAGATTCCTAACTAGTCTGGGATGTATGGCAGTGCTTGGGGTGATGTTTCATAGCATATGTCCTTACTGCTGTGCGATGATTGCTTCTGGAGTAGATTGGAGATTGTTTTATGATTATTTTTTTTTCTTGTTTTCCACTGATAAAGTGTAACACCGATTAGGTTGTTTCTCACAGGTGAGATACCATGATCATTTGACTGGCTAGGAGCAGTTCCATTCTGCCTTGTGTGTTCCTGCTATTTACTTCTATTTAATTTCATTTCTTTCATGTCATTTAGAATTTTGCTAGATGCTCTTTTGAGCAAAATTCTGAGTTTGATTTGTAGATTAACAGTTTGGCTCAATATTTCCTAGCTTAGCTGTGTTTGTTGCATGTGAGGTTCCTTTCTGTTTCTGAAGGTCTTGAAGCCTGTAGAGGCAGAAGCTGCTGCAACCAGAGGAGCAGGTTAAGAAAGATGGACAAAGTAAAAGGCTCCCTTCCATTAGGAAGTTCATTGTATTTACGCCATACAGTGCTAATTCAATGTTGCAGCTTTGTTTGCTGGCACCCAGGATAGGGACCAAAGTGTTTGATGAAAAAAAAATGCTCCCTTCTGATAAAGGGATTCAAACTAGAAAGGCAGTGTACTGAATATAAAATATCCTCTCTTGCTTGTAGAGAGTGGCATTCAGATGGTTCTTTCGTTCTCCCTTTTGTTCCCTGTGATTCTCAGCTGAAGGCACCCAAAACACTGCTGATACCATCAACACATTCGAGTGTGATAAGGGACCTTCAGGGCTGTATCTCACCTATGTGTAACACGCAACTTAAGTTCTAGCCACTTGTGTCCTTACTTATAACTTATTTTGACATCATCAGGGAAACAGCTTTTTCTTGTCCAGATGACTGTCATAGAAGAATGAATTCTGGGTTCATGGGACACTGTCATTTTTGAGAAACCCATTAAAAAAAAGCTCATGTGGACAGAGCAGTTATTTCCAATATCTTTTTCTATTGTAAATGCCCTGAGCATTCTTGGAGTCCTGTCTGCTCACTCTGGTATTTCAGAATTCAACTCCCAAAGTGGAAGTGAACATCTGCTGCATGTTCCCCCATAAGTAATTAGACTGCTGTGAACTCTGCTTATCACCTTTATCTGAATGGTTCTAAAATTGTTCTCATATCTTCCTTTTATATTTATGAACTGACAGCTGTGGTCAGGGGTGCACTGTCCAGGTTGTGTTGAACCTAGTGTGCTGGAGCATCCCTGGCATGTTAAGAGGCAGGAAACATTTACTTGCAGGTAGCCTACAGATTATTTACAGAGTACTTGCTTGGATAAGAGCAAATGGGATGTATTATAATCACATATCATGATTATAATTGTTGCAGAAGTTGTAATTTCAACAAAGGTGTGGTCATATTAGTCTCTGAGTTTCCTTATGTTCTCCTTGTTGGTCTATCTGAAACGTTCCCTTCTTTTGGCTTTTAACACAGCTATAAGTTTCTTGGGACAGGACATTTATTTTTTGTGCTTGAATTGCACATAGTGCTTTATTCACTTTCTACACCAATCTCAATTTTACAGTGCAAGAAATCTCAGCAGATTGCAGGCAAAATTTAATCTTGTCTTGCCGGAGAGAAATCTGATTACTTTTCCTAGGAGCCACTTTTCCAAAGAATCTTTATTGTTATATATTTTCTTCAGAAGTAACCAGGTCTACTCAGGTGTTACCTTAACCATTAAAAAGCTTTCCAACAACATTAGGTCAACAAAAAATTAAGCATTAAATATGTGCTCTCATTTGACACAAACCTTGCAAGTATGTTTCTCAGCCTAAAAATCACTAGACTGTATTTTCCTTCATGGTGAGGGAGGGAGCATGGGAATTTTTTTTTTTTTTTTTTTACCACATAAGTGTATGGAGTCTTTAGGATCAGAAATTTTAGCAGAACGAGTTCCTGGCTATCTTTGTGAGATAGAGAGAAATCTAATGGAAAAACTGAGTCCATTAAAGCTGAATGGAACAACTTCACTTAAAGTCCTCATTTTCTTCAATCACTGGAGAATGAATACGGGTGTTACTGCCTCTCATTCAGGCTTTGCATGGCAGTGTAAAGATTGAGGCTTTCTAGCACATTGCTGGTGAAACCTTCTTATCAAAGCACTCTCATTACAACATCTTTGATCAGCTGTTACTGTATTATCTGCAAGACCTGAGGACAGAAAATGTCCTACCTTCAGTCATTTGATTCTGCTTGATTTTTTGAGAGCTACCTAATTAACTCAAAGGGGAGACAGGGGGAGGAAAATTCCTTCAACTTCTTTACAGGTATTTGTTGGGATTCAGTTTCTCTTTGTTTTGGGTTAAGTAGTTTATCAAACATCTTAAGCTTGGAACAAATGCAGACAACCTTATTGGGGAAGCTGATTTTGGTACACACTCTCAAACCAGGACTGACTGTCAAAATGCCTTTCTTCTGATGGATTTTGAAATGGATGACCATAACAAAAAAAATGCTCCAGAGCAGAAGAAATGCAGTTCTTACTGAAGCCTCTTGGAAATTTAGACTTTTTTGGTCCATTTCCAACTGTGGAGTCTTCACTCCCATTCAGATTACATGTGGCCCGTAAGTGTCAAAGTGCTGATCCTAGATTAAGAGACTGCTTCCAATAGTAGTAATGGGTGTATTAAGAGTACGCCTACACTCAGGAAGAGTTTGCCAACCCTGACTCAGAGCAATTGCTATGGCCTGTTCTTGTGTGCGGTGCCACCAAGGCAGAGAAGAACATCAAATCAACCTGACAGACTTGAGGTTTTCCAGTTAAACCAATAGCTAACTCCTTTAAAGTTATATTAGTGGGCTGTTGATGAAAACAGTATGGTAAGGACAGTGGGAGACATTCACCAGTGGTCTCGTTCATCAGCACTTGGTATGTAATGTGGAATTTCGCAAGACTGTGAAGTCATGCTACATGTCCTTCCTTTTCTCTAGTTTATTACAAAGACTGGAAACTAGAGACACTGCTTGCTGAAGGAGGTTATTGCTCTGCAGTTTGATGAACCTAGACCTCCAGATGCATTGTTTTTTTCCAGAGCTCTGCTACTGCTGGATAATCCTCTCTCCAGGGCACCAAAGGAGCAGTCAATAACTGAGACACGTTCTGTTAAAAGTTGATGGTCCAGTGTGTGCTAAATTAGTGAAAAAATAGCCTTGAGTTTCCCTAAGGATAGTTTGAGTGGGTATATCAAAGTGTCTAAGCAAAATGTCAGATGGTGATCTGGATGTGTTCAAGAAAGGTCATGTGCATTGCCAACATTAAGTATTTGCTTAGGGAATCGACCTATATGAGAGGGTGTGACAGTGGGACTACATCTCTTACTCTTTGCCATGAGTCGACATTCATTTCCTAAATGAATGAAATCTTCTCTTAGTAATAAGTGTCTCTTAACAAAACCTGTTAACCGTAGAGCAGAGTTGTCTGCCCTCCTATGTTGGTACTTTCTGATGTGCCATACATTCACCAGTCCTGCGTGTTTGGTTTTAGTTCATGACTTTTTTTTTTTCCTTTGACAGAAGACTTCTGCAGGCCTCCCGTTCAGCTGTAAGGTATTTGTGGAGACTGGCGTGATGTAGGATAGGAAAATTTACCTGTGCATACCTGAAAATGTCCATTGTGAAATGGAAGTTTCAGCCGATGTGGATTAATTTTCCTACCCTTGAAATAGTAGCAAATACCAAGCTTCTAAGCCTTATTTATACTGTGTGCTATGTTTTAATGAAAGTCCTTATATATTTTTTACTTTCTGTCATGACGAACAAAGTTTAAGCATTTGGTTCTGGAAAATAAAACGTTTGATTTTTATTTTTTTTTAATTAATATTTTTCCCCTTTGTGTTCTGCAGTACCTGTCAGTGTTGAGCAATACTTGTAAGTTCAGAATAGTGGTATCTGATAGGGAAAGCCAAGATGCTGAGGTACTAGGGAGCAGATAGAGCATTTCTAAGACCCGTGTGACAGGACAAGTAGCCTCAGAAATCCTTGAAGCTGGGACTAGGGTGATCGGAAACAGATGGAGTAGATGTGGAAGTGTCTGGGTTATGCACACAGGGTACAGAGATGAATGTAAGCAAACTGTCAAAGGGAGTAGCAGCAGTGGCTGCTGGAGGCATCCTTCTTTAAGGAATTAACTAGACTTGAGGGAGGAAAAAGATGGACATCAGTGACTGAAGGACCTCTAAAATCCATTCACTGGATGAGGACCCATGCAGATATAAAGAGCATGTTCTGTTTTCAGGCCTTTTGGTAAGTCAGGGAGCACTGAAGACCTAAAAAATATAAGACTTGATTCTGCAGATTGCTCAATTGGCAGCAGGTTTTGCTGTCATTTACTGGAGGAGATTTGAGGGGTGTGTGTAAAAGTAAGGGTGTATGTATGGAAATTCTGTGCGTGCCTTGAACCTCCTTCTGTCACTGGACCAAAGAGGAGAAAACTTTTTAGTTTAGCGGTTTGGAAATTCTAATGTTTTTTGCAAAGGACCCTTTCAAAAATGACTTGGAAGATTGTATTTTCTTTGGTAATTTGACAGTGGATTACTTTTAAAAGCAATAATTTGCTTGCCTAGACAGATAAAGTAAAGTTTAGATATTTTTTTTTTTTAAATAATTTGCAATGCTGCAATTTGAACAGGTTTGATGCTAAAGAGTCTGAGCTGTGGGGTTTTTTTCTTTTTCATTTTTTTGTGAAAACCTTCTGTGGGAAATAAGAGGTGAGCTGACTGTATATTTATTTAGGTTACATGGCAAGACTATTCCCTGCATACTTACACTAACACACTATTGTTGTGAAGACATCTAATCCATTTGTTATGATTGCCTTACCTGTGAGTTGTTAGAACAACTTGCATGTGTGTAACAGTACTCTAACACAAGTGCCTGACTATGAGTACACAGCTTGTTTTGTTCGTTAGCAATGCAGAGAAAATATGCTAAGGTCATGAATTAGTGTGCCCTGTTAAATTAATCCTTAGGATATTTATGAAATCTAGGGAAAACAATTTTCCTTGTCTTTTCAACCATGTTTCTCATTTGTTAAATACTTCTGACAGAGAAGCGCTCTTACTGTGTTCAGGAATTGCTTTAGTAACTTTGACTTATCTGTATACTGTCTGTGTGTGCAATTTTTCTTTCACAGATGGGAAATCCTTTGGTCTGAGGCACCTACAAAGGTGAATGGTCCTCAGGCTCGGCAGTTCACACCTTGTATCAAACAGATAAACTTTCCCACAAACTTAATCCGACTAGAAGTGAACAGCTCTCTTCTGGACTATTACACTGAATTGGATGCAGTAGTACTACATGGTGTGAAGGAGAGACCTGTGCTTTCGCTTAAGGCTTCGATGATTGATATGAATGATATTGATGAAGATGAGGATGAAGAAAAATATGGCTGTGGAATGGACACCCTTAATAAGCAGTTCAGCGTTGTTACCCTCAGGGAATGGCCGACTAACGGATATTTTGATAAATTGCCTTATGAGGTAAGAAAAGCATGTTTATACTCAGTATATTTGTCTTGATCATTAAGGGTGCCAAGGTGCTTTATAGGGTACTGGTCAAGATTGTTGTTTTTTCCAGTTAGAGTTGCTTGCATTCTTTTGTGAATCTCTTGCAGCTATTGTATAGTTATGCCTGAATTATGCAAGTCTGTCTGCTTCCATGGATGGATATTAGCAAGCCACTTTGCTGGTATTTGCATAGTTACTGCACTTTTATTTCTCAAGAATCTGTCTACTCACAGTGTTTACGCCAGTTATTCTAGCCTTGAATTTCTAGCTCTTGAACTTAGAAGCTTCTGACAGTTTTCCAGTAGTCTTAGTCCTCATGCTTGATGAAGAAGATAATATAAAAGAGATATGAAAAGATTGAATCAAGATCCGTAACTGAAAATAGTTTGTAATAGGCTAAAAGCTTCTTTTCCTGTTATCTCTCTTAAAAAAAACCACCCCAGAACTTTGTTCTTGAAACGGCCATAATGTTTTCATATTATTATGTAATAAGCCTCTTCCATCCAGCTAAGTTTTGAATCATGGTGGAGGTAAAAAGTGTTATAGCTGGACTTCTGTACACTGTCTTGTTTTGATGTTTGCACAGAAAACAGTTGTGAAGAAACTACTCCTTTCAGATCCCCTGGCAGTGGGGCAGTTGCAAGTGTGCTCAGAGTCAGTGTAGATAAATATTTTCTTTCCTGTAATTTCCAGTATGATGATATTGTGAAGTATGATTGCTGAATGTTATGTGCAGACCAGGAAATTCTCAGTGGGGTATAGCTGTTCGTGGAGGCTAGTACCCTAGTTAAAGTAAGAATTGAGAGATGAAATCATTGTCTTCACCTCTCCCAAAATAAACTGGGTTTGCACATAGTAGAAAGGAGCCTTTACTTGCTGGTCAGACCTCTGGTCTTGGGCAGAGACATGATTGTTCCTGCTCTTCAGTGTACTGCAGTCTGGCAAAACAAGCAAGTGTTTGTTTACTGCGGTAAATCATCAAATGCTCAGAGTGCTTGTGGCTTGAATCGGAGTCGCTTTTGAAAGCAAAGGGAGGATGGTGAGAGATGCTGTCACCAGTTGCAGGGCACTTTCAGAAATACATGATCTGATCAAATAATATTTTGCTTTTGTTGCTTCCTTTGTCTCCAAGTACCCCAATTTGGCACGTGAAGGCCATGGTTGGGTGACTGTGTGCCCTAGTAACCTGCACAAGTTATGCTGTGCTTGTGAAGAGGAAGAGTGGGGAAGAGAATGTAACAACTCTCCCCATCTTTCTCCTGTGTATTTATCTTCTTTCTTAAGTTTTCTTCAGTTTTTGAGTTTGTTTTGGTTTTTTTGTTGTTGTTGCTGCAGTGGAATAATAAATGAGGATACTAACTTCACCCTGAGTTAGCTCTAGTGGTGTTTTTTCCCCCAGAGTCCATATAGTGTTTAATACACTGTCAGTGCTTGTGTATCAGTACTGAAGTAAAGAAAGTACTTGGCATATGCAAAGGTGCAGTTGATTCCAGAATATCTTAAAACGTATAACTCTTTGAAAGTTTGCAAACGTGTTGGTTTTAGTCATTCAAAGAAATTGATTGTAGAGAAAACTTGATTTAAATCTAGGAGGTCTTGTTTGAAAAGGCTGGATAAATTGATTTGTAGTATAGTAGACTACCAGAGAGATTGATTAATCTCTCTTCTGTTTCATGTGACTATGCATATTCAGATTATAATTTAGGAAGTATTTGTAGTCCCCTGACTCCTATGAACTTCTACCTCCATGTACTTTATTGTGCTTTTCTGCTTTCCTGTTTGTGTACCAGCTTCCCTTTTTATCCATTTTTTAACAAGTTTGGTTTCATGAATGTATTTATATTGTCTATCAATACCAAGCACATTCTTTTTCTTCTGCTTTGATATAAAGAAACTGAAAATAAGGGTGGAATATTTATCAGAAAACTACAGGAGACTATTTCTGGGCTGGTTTTGTGACAGCAGAAATCCCAGTCCCCTACTTTCTTGGTCCAGCTGGAAGGTTTGGGTATCAGAACAACAAAAATGTTGCACTTTGTAGCATGACAGTTTTTTACCGCATCAGTTATGGGAACAGTACTCTGCGTGCTGTCTTCAAGACTGACAAGTGTCAGATTTTTCTGGGAAGTGTTCGAACCTGGTAATGATGAAGTAAGGCAACTGACTCCTTCCAGTTTTGATTGATACATTACATGAAAAATTGTATCTTTTTATGTGTTCATGTTTATTGTGAACGTGTAACTGTCCTAAGTCTTCATACATACACCTATTCCTTATCTGAGCTGTTTCAGGCTTTTCATACTACCCTCCATAATTCACAAAATACACAAGCTGAATGGTCTTCTGTGCTAATCTTAAAGTAAGCAGCAGTTCCTCCAGCCTTTGTTTTGCCTTCGTTGTCTTTCTGAAACTTCCATAGACTATCCTTTCATAGACTGTGTTGTTCCTCAAAATGGCATTAGGAATGGCTTGCTGCAGTGTGAGCTCTAAAACCATTGTAAGAGTCGAGATTGCTCCTGCCAACAAAAGAGAAAAATGCTCGACTCCTGGGGCACAGAATTCCTTAGAAGAAAGTGTGAAATCTTGGATGACCTAGGTGGGATAATTTTCCTTCCGTGCTCATGGATGGTGTTAACCAGCCCTTAGTAGCTGTTCTCTAGAATTACCTTAAAATTGAGGAAGGGTTTTCTAGGAGACACTTCACGTCCTTGTCTGTCTTCCCAGTTATCTTTGACTAACTTGTGCTGGTTGTAAAGTGGAAGGAGTAAGGCCTTAGTCTTAGTTGGCTTTGCAGGAATGCTTGAGACCTGAAGGCCTGAACAAGTTAAAAGCCTTTGAGAAAGGTGAAGAATACTTGCCACAGCATACCTGTTGTGAAGTTTGAGACTCACCAAGATGTGCCAGGTACCAAGAACGTAACTTTTGTTCTCCAGAGAGGAGAGTCAGGAGAAATCCTGCATGCTGCAGTCCAAAAGATATTTTTTATATAAATTTTGATATAAAAAGATACAAATGACATCTTTGTCATTCCTTGAAGCCAAATTTTCCTAAAGCTGCCTACAAGATTTATGAGCTGTTCACGTCTACTGGGGAAGTGAATTTCACCGCTAAATGTGGATTTGGCACCTATGTTCCAGGAAAATGGGTCTTGAATGCAAGATCTGCATCCCTTAGATGATACTTAGATGGAAGAGTCGGAGAAATAAGCAGGAGCATTTTTAAGTGTCACACACTTTTTTTCCCTCAACAGTAAACTTCTTGCATCTTTCCAGAACAAATTTTTGTAGGCTTTCAGATAATCTGCAAAATTTTATGCCTCGCTTTCTAAAGAGAAGCTCATGAGGGTCTTAGAAGCTCTCTTAACAGCTAATAACCATATGGCACAAGATTCTTCCCTTCAGTTAATGGCCAATATACTGCCAGTTGCTATAGCAGACTAGGCTGTGAGCAACGGCATGTGGAGAAGATCTCTCCAGCTTTAGTCCTCCTGGAGTCTCGATTATTTGATTGTGCAGTCTGTCAGTAAGATCCTTTTCTGTTCTTTGAATCAAGAAGGAGCTTAGAACCTTTACAGCCTTTCATTGCTGAGAGGATCAGAGCCTATAGCCTGGTGATGTAAAGCCCTCTCCGCCAAAGCATGTTATGGGAGTAGAATAAAGGAGAGACTTAAATTATTCTGGTTTTGTGAAACAGTTGCAAGATCCACTTTTCATGTGTTCATGTGTACTATTAAATGTGTATGCATTTGCTGGTTCAAGCTATAGGATCGTGCAACTAAGGACCGTGTTTTCTTAAACCATGTTGAGGAATGTCAAAAGCCCTAGAATACCATCTTCTCCTTTCTGCCTTCTCTCTTTGCCTTTGTCGTGGTTTAACCCCAGCCAGCAACTAAGCACCACGCAGCCGCTCACTCACTTCCCCCCCACCCAGTGGGATGGGAGAGAAAATCAGGAAAAGAAGAAAAACTCGTGGGTTGAGATAAGAACGGTTTAATAGAACAGAAAAGAAGAAACTAATAATGATAATGATAACACTAATAAAATGACAACAGCAATAATAAAAGGATTAGAATGTACAAATGATGCACAGTGCAATTGCTCACCACCTGCTGATCGACACCCAGCTAGTCCCCCAGCGGAGATCCCCTGCCCCCACTCCCCCCAGTTCCTAAACTAGATGTGATGTCCCATGGTCTGGAATACCCCTTTGGCCAGTTTGGGTCAGCTGCCCTGGCTGTTTCCCCTCCCAAATTCTTGTGTTCCTCCAGCCTTCGTGCTGGCTGGGCATCAGAAGCTGAAAAATCCTTGACTTATTCTAAACACTACTGAGTGACAACTGAAAACATCCGTGTGTTATCAACATTCTTCTCATACTGAACCCAAAACATAACACTGTATGTATTTTCATATTGGAGGGACTCACATTGAAGAACGAAAGAGGAAATGTGTAGAAAGTGCAGATATTCTAGGTTTGACCAGCATCCAAGCATTACTTTCTGACCAAATCAAGTTCTGCATTATTGTGCTCTACTCACAGAAAGCGTTTTATTGGGTACAAATGGTTATTGCTTGCTGTTATTCAGCAAAAAAGCTTAAAAAAGCTGGAGAAACTTTTGGGTAGGTAAGTACTATTAGGAGCTACACCGTTGGTAAAGTTTTACCCCATGTATTGAAGAGTTTGGTGGAGATCCTGTCTGAGCTTATAAGTGAACATTGCACTGGGTGAGATGTCTGGTTTTTTAAGATGTTATATTTTTTAACTGGTAATTCAAAATACATGCATATATGTAAGATGCTGCAGTTGGGGACTATGATGATAAAACACACACGGATCAGGATCTATTTTGTGCTCAAGCAGCACACAATGGATTTGTATACTGCTGTTTGTTGAATTGTTGTGGAGAATCATGATTTGGAAACCTCCAGTTTTTGGAGGTTTTCACTGTAGTGGGTGTTGCTCTCACCACATCTCTAAAGCTGGCATGTGCCATGTTTGCCTTGGAAATGGGAGAGAAAGTACTTCTGTACTTTTTGTCCATCATAGCCTAAAAAGGTAATCAGTGTTGTATAAATTATATTATGTTTTCCTCTTTATACTCCTTTGTATTGTTTTTCCAATAATTTTTGGTTATTCTTGATTGATTTAAAAGAAAGGTAAAACAATAATGGTTGTCATAATTTTTCATAAATGCAGAGTAAAACCAGTTGTTTGCGAGAAACTGTGTTATGAAATTAGTTTTCAAAGCAGATACTCAATTCTGCAGCATTCTTCGAATCACCGTGAACACAGCGTAGCACAATACAGCACATCATGTCACATACTTATTATGGTATCAAACTGTACTTTATGCTAGGTTACACATACAAAAAAAGCAAGTTTCTGACAGACATCAGACTCCAGACTAATGACGATTAATGGTTATTAGCCTGGAGGTTTGGAACCTGTTATCTTTGTTTAATCAAAAGCCAGAAGAAAAGTACCTCATATCTTCATGTCATAGTAGTGACATTTTGTTGTATTTTTTCATTCTAGATATTATGAAGTAGCATAATTTCAGTAAAAAATAAAGAAGGATGATCTTTTCTGATTAAGACATTCATATTGTGAGATTTCATCTCAGGTGTGGAAAGATTGCAACATCCTGTATGTTATGAAATACTTATTGAAGTCATCAGTAGGTGTAAAGGGACATTGGCGAGGCATTTATAGTTTCATTCACCATTATCTTTACTGCTCAGAAATTACAAAATAACTTCTTTTTTCTATTGAACGAAATTTGTGTTACTTTGTTTTTATCAGACATTATTATGCCACATTAATTTTAGACATAAATTCAGCTAACTTTATTGCAGCCTTTATTGCTGACCTCTCTGCTCTGGAAAACTTATTAATAAGCATGGAAAAATCTGAGGGAAAAGACATTCATAAAATAGATATTTAGGTGGCTTACAGAGTGTGGAATATCTAAAGATTGCAAAATAGTCTGAAGCTGTCTTTCAGAATATTGAAAATTATTTAAAGTGAATTGATGGTCTTAGAAAAATAGGTATATGTTTAGGTATCTACTATTAGAATGACAAACAAAACTGTGTTAAGCAACTTTTAAGCTTAAGTATGGGTCTGAGCCAAGCAAAAATCAAGATATTAACTTGGGATTATATCTATGTTAGCTCCTAGTTATTTTACTTTCTTAGATACCAAAATGCCGACAACATAAATGTCAGTTGGGAGTGAACTTTGTTGGTTATAATATATTAACTGCAGTTATTATGTATGTGTATATATTTTATATATGTATTGCTGTCACACTGAAATGTCTATGCAGATCCTCTGCATCAAGCTGAGGTGAGAGTTCTAGGCACCTGCAGGGACAAAAAGCTTGGGCTGTGTTTAGGGGAAAGGAGGAGCGAGGAGAAGGGAAGAGGGAAGGCTTGAAATCGAGCTTGAGAGAAACTGGAGTATATGCAAACGCTGTATTTTGGCACTGGAGCTGAAGTTAAATTTTTTGAAGAGTCGTCGATCGTGTTTGAAATCCAAATACTAAATCTGGAGCTGAGTAGGAAGTAACATTTTTCATTTTGCAGGAAGTTGGATTGTTTTCTTATTTCTTCTCTTCCAAAAATGAAGGGTGGAGGAGGGGGGGTGGAAGCTAGCTGCATAATAAACTGGTACTTTGGAAGTACAATCTGTTTGGATCTCACAAAAAGCTTCATTTTCATTATGTCAAGCCTTTTATTCTGATTTTTGGCGGTTTTGTCTTATGAATCATTATAAGACATTAAAATGAAATATAAGACATTAAGGTATTTTGAAAGGGCCACAGGACTCTCTTCAGTTTAAGCTGATTTGTGGGTTTTTGTTGTTTTTTTGTCTTGTTTTGGTGTTTTTTTTTTTTTTCATAGACACTGATTCATTTCAGTGAGTTACTGTTTCCCACTCTGCTTGAAAACACTTAGTCAATTTTAGTTACATAACTTGAGTGCAGGTACTTAACAGCTGTTAAAACCAGCCCTGGTAAAGTAAACATTGATTTTTTTTAGATTTCATTTTTCAAGTGTATTTTCTCTCAGTTTCTAAGCTAAAGGAGACTATTTTTTGTTGTCGAGCATTTTTGTTATTTCCTAAAGCAAGTATTTATGTGTCTGTGTGTGTTCATTTTCCTTTAGAAAGGAAAACAGACCATAATAGGAGATGGGATATTTTTTAATTTCTGAGTGTGAGATAAGTCATTACAAAAATATGTGTAGTGCTGCTAGTCAGAAGGGCTGGTGATTATTCTGAAGCTGAGATGATTCAATCTGATAAAGGTAAAAAGGGGTTTTGCCTTTCCGATTTGATTCTGGCATAGAACAGAAGTGCTCTCAGCAAGGAAGAGATTACTTTGTCAGAGAAGATGTGAATATGTTGAATTTTTTACCTAGTTGCATAGTCTGGCATGGATGGGAAAGGTTATAAGGTAGAAGACAAAACACCGATTTTTAAAGCCGGGAGCAGAGGAGTAAATCTAAAATCAGTTCAAGGTGTGGGGAAACTGGGACGTAGTATGTTTTTTTCCATGTACTCTGCAAATGTGCTACCATCTTAAAAACCAAATCCAGAGAAGAAAGAGGATGCCAATTCAGTGTTCTGATCAATGGCAGTGCAGACATTGTGAAGGGAAATATGTAAACATAGTGTTTACATATATATCACTGTTTAAATTAGCATGGGTAAAGAAACTTCTAATTTGAAAGCTTCCTGTCACTTTCATATGCTGATCTGTTTTTTCCTTTCTTGTTTAATATGTTGTCAAATTGAGAAGGCAGTGCAGTCCTATTTAATAGTTAATCAATGATTTATTTGCAAAGTTACTTTTAAGTAAAAGGATTTACTTTTCTTTGAAGTTAGAACATCTTTTCTTATTCTTTTGCAGTCTTCCCTTAACACTTCAAGTGCTATATGACCATCTGTGACTTTTTTTCTGTTTTTAATATAGCTCATCCAGTTGATTTTGAGTCACCTTACAGTACCAGACCTGTGTAGACTAGCGCAAACTTGTAAGCTGCTATATCAACATTGCTGTGATCCTCTACAGTACATTCATCTCAGTTTACAACCTTACTGGGCAAGGATTAATGACACATCTCTGGAATACCTACAGTCTCGCTGCACTCTCATCCAGTGGCTGAATTTATCTTGGACTGGAAACAGGGGAGCCATCTCTGTTTCTGGATTTAGCAGGTCAGTGCTAAATGTACAGAAGGATTTTGACAAGCTCTGTTTGCAGAGCTGCTGCACAGTAGTTTCACTAAGTATTTGGAACCTTTTTAAAAGACAAGAAATGTCTTTGATTTGCTATAGAGGGTGTGATTGTTATGATGTAGAAAAAAACAACAGCTAAAACAGTAAGACATACTAGATATAGCAGTGGAAGTCCATTTCAATATGTAGTCTGCGTGTGCCAAACTGCCTGTGACTGAAAGGCTTCTTCCAGGGGGAGCAGTGTTTTGCTTTCTCCTGGGCTTCCAAAAGACTCCACTAGAACCAAGCTGTCAAAAGTCTGTCTCACGGAAAAAATGTTTGCGATTGTTCTTTGTACAAATGAGTCATCAGTAGGACTGTATTAGAATGGCTGCAGTAATAAACTGATTACAGTGCATGCTTACAAGGTATGGGCCCTAAGTAATCACTGGAGTGCAATGTAAATGCAAATATTTTCATAAAAATGATTTAAAACATTAGCCCTGTTGGGAAACAGGGGGTTTGCATGTGCATCTTCCACTGAGCTGAAAATACGACTGTGCTGTAGGTCATTAAAATAGCAAATTCACAGGGATTCTTCTCTGTATAACAGCCGTGTTCTCTGCTTCCTTAACATATCATTTCTTGCTTCTTTGCTCGTTTGCATTAGTTAAACAGCATCTATCAATGCATTTCATTTAAGCAAAAAATTGCTGCTTCAACTAAGAGGTAATCAGCAATGGCAGGTGAAAGCAGAACTTGACTGATAAGAAACAGAAATGTTTAATATATCTAAAAAAAATTGTCTTAACTCTCATTTGTTTTCTGAATGAAAAGGTTAAATCAAGTATTTGAACATTTTCTTTCCTTTGGTGCCTGGGTGCCTTCCCTGGGGAAGTAAAATAATTTAAAGAAATATTTTGTCAAGATGAGAATGTTGCTTCCTTTTTTCCTGACCTTCCAGTATAATCCAGGAGCCCTATGCTCTTTTGTGCTTGTTGGTAGAAAAAGGAGATAAACATCAGCCAGTTGTTGAATGGGATACAAACATTTCTTCTAAATTTGGATTTCATATTGGGTACATTAGGCAGAGGATAAATATGCAAGCTTTAATTGAGAATTGAACTCTGAAATCATGAAGTGCTTGCTTTCTGATGCTTAGCTATTAAATCTGTAATTTGAAAACTTAAAAGTATGTGCATTTTTCATGATTTTTTTTGAACGTGCAGTACTGCTAAAAATTTTTGTAGTCCTGAAAGAAATGAATGTCTAAATTCAGAGAATTACAAACTTTGCAGTTCTGGCATTTCTGACTTCCACTTAGTTGAAAATGGCTTTATTGTTAATGACTTTTTTTTTTACTTCAGTGCTGAACTAGTAGCAGCACTTATGTATAGTCAGCATTTCTAAAATAATAAATATTCATTGTTTGACTATTAATAATTGTGAATAAGCATGGTCAATTTATATTCATTATAACAGGTGATATTTATTTGTAACAAGGGGGAAAGTGTTCTTGGACATTGATACAATTGTGAAGTTATCTGTATTTCTAGGAAAAAGTATTTCTTGGAAGAGATACATGCAGTCTGGGAATGGGAGATGCAGTTCAATCGTAAATTTTTGAAACAAAGTTGTAAGGTAAATAATTTTCAGGTGTGACTTCTGCTCAGAATTTTCACTTCTGAATCAAAAATTCTCCACTGTAATTAGGTCTCATTTTGAAAGTTTTCTTTTACCTCATACAGAAATAATTTTGCAACTCAGTTCTGTACAAGTGTCTTTTCTAGTAAAATTTCCAAACCCAAATTTTCCTTTTGACATTCTTCATCAGCATGTTTGTCAGATTTGCTGGCATCCAGGAAAGGAAAATTTGCTGCTCATTTGCTGTGGAAGTATCTATTAATAAAGGAGACTTACTAGAACAACACTTACTTTTCAAAAGCATTAATGTAACTTTCTTCAAAAAAAGTAGCTTCCTGGTAAGAGATACTGTTCCTCAAAGGAGCAATCTGTCAATTAATGTTTTAGTTCTGTTGCCCTGGCTGTCATTACGATACCACCACCACGACGTGGATGTTGCAGCATCCAGGACACGTAGTCATGAACTCCCACAATTTTTCCTTTTGAACTTCTAGATATTCCTCACTCAGCCTGACTTTTGGGAGATATTATGCAAAACAGAGTTTCCAAAGAACTTTGATTTTTCTAGGAATTCTGTTTCACACTTAAATTTTCTTTCCAGTTTATTCTTCAGAATATGAGTATTGCAGAGGAGGTTCTCAGTTGGCTGGGGAGAGTGCATTGCTGCTCTTATCAGTTACCTGCTGATGTTAACTATTACTAAAAACTTAATCAGATTTTCAGACTGTAATTGTTCTTTGCAGAAATGAAATACTTACATATTTCTGTATGTCTCTATACATAACAGTAGAAGACGTGTATCACTACATTTATTAGTGTAAAATCTTCTCTTGCTGCCTACTGTGTGAACATTTCTGAATCAGTTTGTTGGCTTCTCTTTATCCTGCTCTCTTTGGCTCCCTGTCTGGTCTTGGTATTCTCTATTTCTTTCTGCAAAGGAAATTTTAAAATAAGGCAATGAGGTGTGCCTATAGAGTACCAAGCTGCATCTTTTATTTTGGATTTAATTGGTGAAAAAGTCTTCTTGTAACTTGAGATTGAGTTGAAACGAGCCTAAATTGCTTGTTCCAGTACTTCAGGTTTATAAATTTTGTGGTAAGTTGCTGCATAAGCAACCAGGAATGGCTGTCAAGCCAACTACTTGGAGGTGTAGAGAATTCTGCCTAGAAGTAGTAACAATTTGAAGGACTCTGTTATGCTGTTTTTTAGAAGGCCAACCTACATTTGTCAATTCAAGGAGAAAAAACATTATTTGCTAAATGAAATTTGTAAATAACTTCACAAACACTACAAATTGCTGCAGTATAGAAAGGGCAAAATGCTAAAACCAAAATACCTTATCCTCATAGATAACAGTATTTCACTTTTACAGGGCCTGTTTTTTATGTTGTTTTCTTTATTTTTGCACTTTTCTCAGCATTTGGTGTTACAGTTGGCACCGTCGAATTCAAAACTGGTAGAGTTAGTTTCATTGGTACAACTATACAATTTAGGTTATGATTTTTGCAAGCCAGGGCACCTTTAAATGCTATTCTTGCTCAAATTTTATTTTGGCAAATATCTTTAAAAAATGTTTTTATCTGTGGTTTCTTATGACAGTCTTAAAAGAAGTAGCTTGTGTAAATTTGTGTGTTGCTTTAAAAGGTTCATGCAGACATGATGGTAAGAAATAATTGAAAATATATGTTTTCTTGCAAAAATAAACTAGAAAATTTTTTAAAAGAGTAATTTTAAGAAATGTGACTGAAGCAAATACTGTATTATCATGAGAAGATAAAATGCTTCGGGCATATGAACATCCTGAGGCAAAGCTGAAGGTATTTTAACTTATTGATAATGTCTACTCCTTAGGGCTAAAAATGAGTATCATAAATTTTTCATTTCAGCATATAATAGAAATTAACTAAACTTTATCATTTAGATTGAACTAAAAGTATACGGAAAAGTGAAAGACAAATGAAATGAGTATCTGAGCAGTCTCAAGTGTCTGGAATGCAAAGTGACAGGGAATAAGCAAAGATTTCACAGCAAGCATTACATAAGCAGCGCTGCATTTCTCTTGGCGTTAGAGGTATGGTGAATTTCTTCACGCCAGGGGAATATCAGCATGGGAGGGTAAGACCTATGTAGGAAGAGTGAGGCAAGTTGATTGGAGGTATACTAAATATCGAGAAGCTGAATAAATGCTCTGAGGTTTAAACAGCTCAAGGACAATGACAATTTAAAAACAGAGTTCTGCATGGAGATTTCTTTGTATCACTGGTAATGTCATTAGCTTGTTGAAACTCTTTTGCTTTAACTATCTGAGGTATTAGGATTTTTATTTACTTCTAACATTTTATACTGTGAAAATGAATTAATAGTGTTTTATTTTCAGGTTAGTGAGGCAGTGTTTGCATGTCAAGCACATCCAGGAATATTTCTTTTAACGATTTTGTTGTTGTTAACGTTTGAAGGCTTTAGTTGCTGTTTAATAGAGGTGTATTTTGACAGTGTTTAACTTGATGAGGCTTTGCTATGAATCAAACGAGCAGGAAGGTCATAGAAATTACTGAAACATACATCAAATAGTCACAGAAAGTTCGAGTAATGTGTGATTTTACGGGTATTCTCAATTTAAAAATCATGTCTGTCTCTTGCTTTAATTTCCACATTTTTTAATAAATACCTAGGGTTGCTGTAATCGAGATTAAGTAATAATGTTTGTTTTGCATGTTTCTACTGAAATAGTTTAATCTGTGTTGAGAAAAGCACAAGATTGGAGACTTAATATTCTCCTTACTTGAATGCAACGTTTTAAGCTTTGCTGACCAAAAAAAAGTGTAATATATGCTAGAGGAGAAAATAACACTGTAACAATTAGAATAGCTTAGAGGAAGGGAAGGTGGCTTCATTTTAAAAACAAAATTATTTTACTCTGTCTCACTCTCAAGCATGCATACTGGCATGCACCAAGGCGACTGAGACGTGTGTCCAAAGCAATTTGTCTAGCGTGTAGTCTCACTATCCTGTGCCATCTCTGTCCTTCATCTCCTAATCTGCGTGTCCTGAGAAACTGCACATATATATGTTCAAGGATCTTGATGACCTGCTAATCTGACTTCCACCAACACACACCGCTCTACCAGCCCTTGCATTGCCATTTGTTCTTTCTCATGCTTCTACACCTGTATGTACCCATTTGTTCTCCAGTCATGCCAATCTTAACACTTTTATTACAATTATCTGTACTAGATGCTGCTGCTGTTGTGTAACACAGCAGTCCTGAAAGGAAAAGCATCACCGTGAATGTAAAAATATCTGAACATGACTTTAAGTATATTAAAATGCAATTCCACAAGTCATTGGATTAAATGCAAGACTGTAACTGCAACACAGGTTGAGATTATGAAGTGCTCTGCTGAGTTTGTGCGAGTAATCATATAGATAGAACTACAGTAATAAAGAGAAGACCTCAAGATCTTAGTAGTGAAATGAGGAAGAATAAAATCCAAGTGTTTTTTTGGCAGTATTCTTGTCTGGTGGCAGGCTCCGAAAAGCAGGAGACCTGAGTAGCTAGAGGGAGCGTGTAGTTGGCTTGAAGCAAACTGAAACGGGTGTTTTCATGAAAAACTGGTTCTAGGAGGGAGATACCAAGGAAGACTAGGCAAATGGGGCAATGTTATATCTGTCAAGTAATGGAGGTAACATCCCTGATCTGGATGCTAGCATAAGGCAACACTACAAGGGAAAGTGCTAAAGGAAAAAAAAAAAAAAAATCTATCCAACCTTATGTTGTTCATGAGTGGAAGTTGTTCCCCCCCCCCCGCCTTGAACACCAAATGCAGTGGTTTATATGTCAGTAACTAAAAAATTAGTACCTAAGATTTTCATTGAAAATAGATTTGGTAAAATCAGCATGATTGAAACCTGTTGGGATAATTGTACTAAAGGAACATAAAACTAGGTAGCTATTTGTGTTTAGGAGGGATGAGTAGATGAGAGAGAACTGAACTGTGATCCCTGTTTGTTGTAGAGTTTTCAGTAACTTTGAACCATGGGATATTGAGTAAGTGGGGATCATTATGCTAACAGTGAAGTGTAGGTTTTGGATCCAGTGCAGTTCCATTAGAAACCATTGGATCAAATGTGATGTGTTCAGTTGCCTCATAAGCATATGTCTAAAGGTATTTTGTGAATTTTGTTTGGGAGGTCTTATGGAGCCAGTTCTGACGTGAAGGGTGCTATCTCTTGTATCTTGATATTTTAATTTTGGATGTTCTTTGGCTCATGGGATATGCTTATGATACAGACATGAATTACAAGGTTGGAAGTTCTTAACAGACTAAGTGGCCCCGTGATCATGACGGGTTTAACATTAACATCAGCATCAGCAAATGGTGTCGTAACTGCTAGTAGATATATTTGATGTTTCAGAAGGATTTCACTAGGACTAACTTAATTCCCAAAAGCTGAAGCTGAAGGTGGGGAAAATGAACAGCAGTTCTTGAGAGCAAGCAGAAGGTGATAGAAAGTGAGATAGCTTTTTTTTAATTAAAAAACAAACAAACAAGAACCCCCTAAACCGACCCAAAACCCCGCCCCCCCCCGCAAAAACCCAACCCAAACAAAAAACAACCATGCCCCCCCCACCAAAAAAACCCAGCCAAAAAAACCCAGCCAAAAAAAACCCTGAAATACTGCAGTCTAGAACAAGGATAAATTTAGAGGGAAAGGCCCAATCAGTGTCTAGCAAAATAAATGTACATGTTCACGTTATTCTAGGTTGTTTAGTCAGTCATATTTCGTAACAAACATGAAGGGATGAAGGGAAATGACTTCAGAAATTGTGTGTATAAAATATTGATGATAAAAGGAAAACTGAAGGGATGGATGACTGTGCAGAAAGGAGGAGAGACTAAGAGGAACCAGTCAATCCTCAGTGATTAAAGGAGCGGTATGTGAAGATATGTTGATTTGGGTAGAAAGTGCTTTTGGGGGATTGTTTTATTTTCAAATGAGCTAAGTCAGAGCCAGGCATTCAGTGTCTGTTAAGTCTCAGAAGTATGAAGGCCATGCCACATTCGTTCTGAAAGCATGAGAACCCATGTTGTACCTTGCCATATGGCTTTGGAGATCCATGTAGAAAGACGTTGGCAAAAACCTCTGTCCTGAGCAGCCTGTTAAGTGCAAACACAGACTGGGGTGTCTTGATCATTCAGAGAACTCTGCAGTTCTGCCTAATGTTCCCTGTCCTGTGCTGGTTGGTGACTTCCTCAAATTCCTCCTCCTGTTTCTGTTCATCTCTTTACTTCATGCCTGTGAGCTCGTTCTTGTACCCTGCTGCATGTCCCATATCGCCCTTGCCTTTCTGTTTAATGTCTCCTAAATAACCTTTTCCAGAAAGGTCCCAAAGCCATGAAGTGCAATGCTCGTTGGTGTTGCTGTGTTCACTCTGCCTTTGTGTTTCAAGTGTAATGAATGTAAATAAAATGTTATGAGGGTAGTAAGTCCTCAAGCTGGTGAGCCTGGAGTTCTTCTCCAAGTCTAGGGGGTTAACTGAGTGTTTCCCTGACTTGGTAATGTTAACTTTTAAGTCCTAGAAGGAGAAAAGCATTGATCTGTACCAACATTTGTAACAGCCAAACCCTGTTAAATTATATGGCAGTTAACCTAACATCCATTATTGTAATGGAGTAATTCATAAAATATTTATCCGTTAGCAAATTAAAAGCTAGAGGTATAATAAGTGATGATTGACAAGGTTTTATGGAAAATACCACCATTCAAACAAACCTGATAATTTGTTGATGAAAGAAGCTGTGTGAATGTATTGTTAAACCACTCATTAAATAGAGGAATTGGCTAATTGGTAATCAGCAACGAATCCATATGGCTCAACTCTGATTTCCAGGGGATTTCCATCCTGTGTTTCTCCATGGCAGTGTTGAACTCTGTTGCTAGTCTAAAATAGCGTTTTAATGTTTAAATACCTGATGTTAATTGTTGTGAATTGTCATGTCATTTCAGCTCTGACACTCACGTAAGAAGGCTTACCAGTCTGGGTGAATTCTCTGTATCCAGCATGAAAATGGCAAATAAGTCCTTGGTGTTTGATTAAACTCTGATTTTACAAGCTAAAATGTATTCTAGAGGGAGATTGCAGAGTTAGACAAAAATAGTGGAAGAGTAGGTTTGAAGGCCATACTTGGCAGACCCCTGTGGCTCTGGGGCTTATGTCTGCCCTTTCATGTCTCAGACGCTCTCTTTGTTTCTGTTTGCATAGGCTCATAGAAATGTTGGATGTTAGGGACCTCAGAAGGTCGTCTACTCCAAGCTCCCACTTGAAGTGCCAGTGTCCCCAACGCTAGATCAGGTCAGTCAAGGTTTCAGGTGACTCTTGGAAATCTCTAGGGATGGAGATGCCACCCTGGAATCTCCTTTTCCCTCTGTATTGTGTAGGATCTACATAATCAAACTAAGGCTGCGTAATGTGCAAGATGAAAGGAATAAAGAAAGGTGATGATGAAGGGCAAGTATGACTTCAGTGATGAAAAAATAAGGAAAGGAGAAGGTTTGAAAACTTGGATCTTGAAAGATGGACTTCAAGTCCCGTGCTACTGTTAGTGTCATTGAGGAATGCCTCCCTGAAAGTGTCTGCTTTTAAGACCAGCAGCTATGTCATCCTAAGTTTCAGCAGGAGCAAAGTCTTGGGAAGGTTAATACCTGTTTAGTTGTAGCAATGGGAGTTTTTGTGCAAGCAGAAGCCTTGTGTCTCTCTGGCATTTATTTCTATTGTATCAGTTAAACCCAAGAAGTAATATTAACTAACTGCAGTGAAAGTGTCAGAACCCAAAGCTACTTTGTCTGCTTGAAGGTTTTTATAGGCTAGAACTGGTAATAGAGCAGATCAGAATATTTATTATGAGAAACTAATTCATGCTCTCTCACAAGTAGCTCCATTATTGTAGGAAGTAACAAGAGGAACTCATTGCAGCCCATAGGTTAGGAACTTAAGTTTTTTCTACTGGAGAAACTATTAAAATAAAGTATAACAAAATCATGACAAATGTGGCGGGGGTTTTCCTATTAAATATCAAACTTACAAGCCTAGTGATTTATTTACAGTTTGTTATCTTTGCAACAAAAAGGGATATAAGCTTATGTGTTTTTAACTAAAGCTTGGATTAGGTATAATAGAGTTTGAATTTCTGACACAAGATCTCTGACAGAAGGTGTAATTTATGCAGAGACCATCAAAGTTTCTAAATTTTGGATGTTTTGTCTTCAATTTTTATAATTCCAATGAAAGTCATATGAAATATTCCTTAGCAATCTCTGTGTTCTAGAACAGCTACAAAGTGTTGATTTCGACTTACTTGTTAATGAAAGAAATGAGATGTTTTTGTGAAAGTCTTAAAATACTTCTGAGTAGTTCATCCATTTAAAACTATTTGTTTAATGTCATCTTGACATTTTCAGATTTTTCTGAGATAAAGATAAATGTGAAATTATTGGTGGAAACTTGCAGGCCATTGTCAAAATTGGCTTTGGGGACCGTTTAAAACCCTTTCAAACATTATCTGTGTTGTACTTTGCTTCATTGTCTCAGAGTAAATGGCAAGAACGAAGCGTGTTCCAACTTTCTAAACTGAAACAGTTTTCAAGACTGATGTTAATTTAATAAAAAACCCTCTCTATGCTGTTCTCACCCCCAAGGATTTTTGCAATTAATTTTCAAGTTTTTTTAAGACTGCTTTAGTGGCATTAGCCTCCTTATGCCATGTACAGCATTATATAGCCTTCTGTGTTTCTTAAAATGTAGTCAAATATCTCTTTGTACAAAACATAGTATAATATCTAGGTTATATACATTAAGTCAATGTTGATGAAACAGCCTTGATTCTCAGACTACCTCTGTTTTTTTAATACTGCTCTCTAACTCAACACCTAATTGGTTTGGTCTCTTCTGGATTTGTACAGATTTGATTCAGAAGTAACTTCAGAGTGGTTATGATTAATTTACTTTAACCTAATCATGTTTTCTATGAGTTAACTGAGCTGACATAAGAGCTGTGGTCTGTAGGCTTTTCATTGTTGAAAGGAATTATTTCCTGGTTTACATGCATAAGGTTTTGACAGTATTCAGACTCTCACCTGAAAGTATGTTTATTTTTCACTTAAAATGTGTTTTTTGCAGGTTCTTGAAAGTTTGTGGCTCTGAACTAGTACGTCTAGAGTTGTCTTGTGGCCATTTCCTCAATGAAACATGCTTGGAGGTCATTACTGAAATGTGTCCAAATCTTCAGGAATTAAATCTCTCATCATGTGATAAAATACCACCTCAGGCTTTCAACCACATAGCCAAAGTGGGCAGCCTAAAACGTCTCATTCTCTACCGAACAAAAGTGGAGGTAGGAACAAGTATTTTTAACCTTTGCAATAAATGCTTTCAATCCTGATAAAGTTGTAATTTTTTTTTCCATTAATGAAGACGTGAATTAGAATTTTGCATGCAAATTCAAAGGTAAATTCAGAAAATTCAAAGATAGTTTCAAAAGCCATAGGATATTTTTATTTTCTAAATAGCTTGTGGATTTAACAAAAATAAATAAAAAGCCTCCATGTTTTTACTTGCATGGAAAATTGGTGACTTTTCACCAGCTGTTTTAAGCAATGTAGTGAAATCAGAAATGTGAAATCTTTTCTCTTTTTTTGAAGTGTACTCCAGTCAGACTGTATTTGGCAATATAATTGGGAAATTATCATGTTCAGTAACTTACTGTAATTCTCAACATTCTTTCCTTTAGAGTGCCTTGCTAATTACTAGATTCCTACTGACTTTGTATAATAGCAGTATGTGAGACATGGAACACAAATTTTTTAAAATACTTTACATGTACAGTGTAAAAATTACTTCTTTATACAGTTACTGAACTGCCCGAATCAGGGTTGTTGTTGTTTGCTGCGACACGTTTCCTATCTAAGATGGAATGGTTTTACATGCTACGGGTTTCTCCACTGTTGTAGTTTACTACATTTTAAAAATGTTGTATCCTAGTAAATTCAGCAGTTTGAATCAGAACCAATTCCATTCCTTCTCACTAGCTACATTACTTACGTATTACAGCTGTACTACTCTGGTTTACATGGAAGCTCTCTTTCTTTTGGTTTTTTTTTTGCAAACCCCTCCTGTTTAGTGGGCCACAAAAAGGGGGGGGGGGGGAAACATGTCTCTGCAGTTTTTTCTAGCTTTTAGCTCCAGGTGAACATTTTAAGAAGAATTTTCTTGTGTGTGTTACTTCTGCTTATGCTTTTGATACACAGAAGTGAGGCTGTGACACTGGATTGTGTGGGGTTGGTACGTAGTGTGATAGAAGAACTGGAGCTGGAACAGTAGGTTCTGTCTGCTAGATGTCCAAGGGTCATCTGAAGTTACAGTACCTCATTCCATTTATAAGCAGTTCACACCTAACACACGTGCTACAAAGTTAGTTGCATCTTGTTGTCCTTTTTTTGGTAAATCACATGTACGTTTGTGTCCCAGCTAGCTATCTGTAATTGTGATTTCATAGTGCAAGGTAGTCAGATTAAAGGGTAGGCTACCTGGAATGATGGGCATTTGCTGTGGGGTATGCAGGCAGTCACCGTGAAGCCAGTGCCCCTCAGTAACTTGTTACTTTATGGTAGTTGCTCTGTGTATTGGAGCAATTATTATTTTCTACAAACTAGAAAATAAAATAAATTGGTGAGCCCTGCTTTTAAGTGCCTTTTGTATACAGCTGAATCAGTGGCTTGGGTGTATCTGTTCTGTTTCTAGATCACTAGTCTTTCTGTAAATCTTGGAGAAATCTCCTAACCTCATTTTGACAGTGGGCTCTAATTCACAAGGCTTTTTCAGATCCAGGAAAGATCATTGTATCAGAGGTAAAGATTGTATAATTTTATTTTTTTCTACTGTTGATTGATCATAATCTTCTTGATTCTACTCAGGTAACTTCTAAAATTTGAGACTTCATGCTTGTAATAGTGCAGCAGCTGAGGTATACTCTGAAAATGATTGGTAACTGTCACTTCTCAGCTATCATTTTGCTGAACAGAGCTTGAAATTAGATTGAATGTAGATGGTAAAGATTTCCTGACTTTGAAGCCCTTACGTTGTGAAGATTCATTTCTGCTTTTCGTGTGTATGGACATGCGTCTGCTTGTACCTGACAAGAACATTGATTCGTAATCAAGCTTACTTAAGATTGTGCTTCTATTTTATACATACATATAGGCACTGTTCCTAACAAACCATGGAAGAGAAATTTCTAGAAATTTAAATAGGTAAATTGGTGAGGATGCTTTTGTGTTATTTGTAAATATGAAACCACTTAACATATACGTTGTGCCTCACAGGTGGAAAAGTAAAAGGGAAAGAATGAAAAGGTAGCATAGAATTTGAATTAGAGGATTAGAGTTACAGAAGTCACAGATTTGCAGAAATAACATTACCTTTCTCAACATTAGCTTCTCTTAATGCAAATCTTTGGTTTTCTATACAAAATAGGCTGCCATTCCTTCTGTATTCTTCAGCTGGTACAGAGATGCTAGGTAGTAACTGGTATCTAGATGCAAAAAAGGCAGGATGGATTGATCAAGCATACTCTGAAGTGATTTAGACTTCTCTGAAACTTGTCAATGAACTGTATGTTCTTGATAGTACAGATAGAACACTACTAAATACAGTAGTGTTCTTGAGTTTTGTGAAATTTCTGCTACTACTGCATCTTCATTGTTGGAGTTTCTAAGGGGCAAACAATGGAACGATGCTAATGTTTAATCAAGAGCTTGATGTTGTATTGTTGCCAACTGGACCTGCTCAGAGAAAACAATCTGAGGCTGTGAATCTACTAAGGAAAACTGCTGACTGATAACAAATATGTGATTATTAAGAGAGAGAAAGAAGGTGAGAACAGAGCTGATGTGTGTGTTATGGTCCTCTGTAAAAGTTCTGTCTCAAAATCCAAAAAAAAAAAGAAACCAAAAGAAATATTCGTTCATTCCATTTAGCCCATCATCTTCCTAAATGGATCAGTGGTTTGCTTTTTTTCTTAAAAATAAACCAAAGAACAAACAAAATAAAGCACCAAGTCTCTTGATCTAAATTTTTTTCTCGCATCATATTCTAGAATGGCAAATGTACAGGTCCTACCCCAATTATCAGTGTGTTGCCATTTTTTGTGGCAGAAGGATGGCATCCCTGTTCATCCTGTGTTAGCCACCTTGATGTAAAAATGGGGTAATATGTTTCTGATATTATTGGAGATTTTGAAGTAGTTGCCAAAATGTGAAGAGGGAATGAATATGCAGAGAACAAATCCGTAAAGTTGACCAAAATGAGTTCTCCAATGAAATATCATAATATTCTTTTTGTACTGCACAATTAGAAGCAGTCTTTGGAATTGAAGCATAGTAAAATTAGATCAAATTAGGAGGGAGACTGCCTTTTATGCTTGTAAACAGGGATTTACTGTTTAATTTACTGAACTGATTAATTTATTGTTATGACTGACCAAGGTAAACACTTAGGTTGATTTAAGTGAAGTGAACATATTTTTTAAAAGGGGCAACACTAAAGAGAACAGGAAAAGCAAAATAGGACTTAATGCTGTAATTGACTTCTAAAGGAGGGCCCTTCTCTGCATGTTATTTGTGATGCCAGTGAAAAAGGGGTCATTTTCCTACTCCACAGTTGTCAGTCTCTGTTGAAAATGCAGTGTTGTGTTAGGGCACATCTGGGTAGATAGCACAACTTGCTCTTTTTGTTGTGAATTTGGGCATGTGATTAAATAACATAGGAAGTGGGATGAACGTTCTCCATCCTTTTTATCAGTATGTGTTAAAGCTGTTTCTGGTTTTGTATGATGCTTTATAAAGTACGGCATTAACATTTTAATAAAAGAAATAGTATTTCGATTAAATAAAACCAAACTCACATGTACCTGCCCAGGGGTAGGATTTCCTTACTCAGACTGTGTCTTGCAGTACTCTTGCCTTTTATGGTTTTTTAATGCTAAAAAAAAAAAAGAGAAAAATTGCTTTTAACTTTAAATTTATTTGTTGTACTTTTTCTGTTTATATGATTACTGTGACACTAATGGATGAATTCTGAGAAAATACTCTGCAGAAGATTGACTACTGTTAATGATTTTTATGTGTTAGATACAGAAAAACAGATTTGGAGGAAAACGGAAGCGTAATAAAATTGACAACATATTATGTAATCATCTGAGCATTTATGACAGTTTCTTGTTATTTTAGCTGTTTTCTTTGAATAGGTTTTGTATTTAAACATATTCCCATTGTCTGTCTAATCAAAGCTCCAATTTTTAAGTGTACATTTTTAGCGAAATGGACAATTCTGGTGTTCTGCTACTTACTGCACTGCAATGCTGTTTTGGAAGATAGCTGTACCATCTGGAGGTGTTTACTGTCTTTGGTCCTAACCCTGCTGATTCTTAAGGCCATATATAATGTTATTTCCTTGACTTACTGAGTGCAAGTTTCTGTGTACAAAATAGATTTCAAACCTCTGAATTGAAGCTTCCAACACCCTTGAATTATTCAAACCTCTCTGTTACAAGAAGGAAAGTCCAGTGACTTTCAGTAACTTGTTCCAGGCTGAACAAGCAAAAAAAAAAAAAAAAAAAAAAAAATTAAAATTTTCCTGTATTGCTATACTCCTCCCCACTAAGTGCAGCTCATTTTTCCAGTGCTTCAAGTTCATTGTTAAAGGTGCCATTCTTAAAGGTTGTTTGATTATGTGTATGCTTGAAATAATTTGTAACTTGCTTTAAGAAATTAATCTCAACATTTTATAAATGTAATATCTGCTAGCTCAAGACCACTGTTATACTTGTGGGATTTTTGTGATGGTGGTTTTGGTATTTACTGATACGTGACTCCTTAATATTTATTCATTGAGAGTGTATTCACAGCATAATTTAAACACTTGTTGGCATTGATACATTTGAAGAATACAATGAACAATGGAGGTATTATTGTATACTGTAATTGACAGTGCACATCTTTATGGTTTGAGTATGAATATTATCTTGATGTAATGTTTATCATGAAGTATTCCATCCATATAAATAATGTAGCCAAAATCATATTTTAAAGAAACCGAAGCCACAATTACAGTAGGAGAACTGACAGTCTCCTTATTGCTGGGTGTAAATTTTAATGTAAGATTCTGTATTTCATGTTGCATGACATTCTGGATTCTTTATAATGTGCGAAGAAAAGGTTTTTAAAGTTTTTGTATTACAATTATAATTGAAATAAAAAATGAACTAAATTTAAATCAAATTACAATGGACAAAGCATACATTTTAAAGCAAGTGTTGTATTTGTAAATTTTATCTCT